ATGGGGGGCTGACAGCTTTCCTGCCCTTACTTTCACTGTCTGTGTAAGCAATGAACTTTCTGAATCTGATAGTGGGTCTTTGTTTCTTTACCAGATGAATCCTCAGCCTCTCCTGACCCACAGACGCACCCATTCATTACGGTCTGTGGCTGCTTTCCTGCTACCAGGGAGGAGCTGAGTCATTGCAAGAGAGATCATGCACCTGCGAAGCCTAACATATTTTCTGTCTGGCTCTTTGCAGAGAAAGTGTGGTGACCCACCGATTCCATCAACACACAGCCCTTAAAGTGACTTTAAACGTCTGTGTCAAAGCCCTCCCCTCATCATAGCCTCAAGCCTTACTTTGCTTAGACTTGAAGAGCTGCAATCAGTCTTACCACTTAGAAGCCTATGGTATTTCCTTGGGAGGAAAATAACAAACTGATTTTCAGACATGATAATTAAAGCCCAAGTCCTGCCATCCTTCTTTTCTTCCTGAGGCAGCAAGATGGGGACTCTGTGAGCCCCTTGCCAGAGTCTGGTTTCCCTCCCAGTGGCAGGTGCTCACTTCATGTTGGTATTTGCAGCAGAGGGCTTTGAGTGAGTGGCTGCTCTAGGCTGCCCCATCCCGTGCCTCCCATGGAGACCTTCTCCCACGTCACAGGCCACGGGATGCTACTGCGGAGGCCACACTGTGCCAGGTGCACGTGAGCTGGGCCCCAGAGGCCAGCCTTCCTCCCTTCCTTGTCACATACTGGACTCCTATCCAGCCTTGCCCACATTCTTCAAAACTCAGCAAGTGTTAACTCCCTTTATGAGACTTATACATTTGTGGACTCAATGAGTCTAATGAATCTTAGAGTCAAAAAAGGCATGCCTGAGTAGTGCCGTGTTTCCCTGAAAATAAGACCTACCCATGAAATAAGCCCTAGCAGGCTTTCTAAGCATTTGCGCAATGTAAGCCCTACCCCGAAAATAAGACCTAGTGATGGGCGTGGCTACGCAGCGCATCTGCACAACCCGTGCATTTCGTCGTGGAGCGGGAAAGAAGAAGAGCAGCCCTTCTCATCTGCCCCATGAGAGCTCTATTGCTTGACGTGAGAGATTGGGGCCAGTGGTTCTAAGTAGAGTCTAAGTGGTTCTAAATAGAGTCTAAATAGAGTCGCAAGAAATTCAGGATGGAATTCGGGGTTTGGAGATTTATGATGATGTTCCAGAAGAAGACGACTTAACTATATTTGAATAAATGTAGATTGTTGTACTGTAATTAAAAAGAATAACACATCCCCTGAAAATAAGCCCTAGGGTGTCTTCTTGAGGAAAAATAAATATAAGACCCTGTCTTATTTTCGGGGAAACACAGTAACAGGTCCTGTTGCTCTCTATATCCCAGAGGCAACCGCCAATTCCAGTGAGTTGGCTTTACCATTGACACAGTTTTGTGATCCCATTTATTAAATGGCTGTGCCAACAAATGCTAATATGAAAACATGTTTTATTCCTTTTGAGGTTAAAATTGACTAGAATATAATTTTTAAATACTGTTCTTTTTTAAATAAAACAAACAATAGGCTTTATTCGGATTCTCTAGTGTTTCTTTTTTTAATTTATTTCAGAATATTAGGTAGAGGTACAAATGTTTTCGTTACATGGATTACTTTTGTACTGTTTGATACAAAGTTATCAGTGTGCCCGTCTCCCAGATAGTGTACATTGTACCCATTAGGCATGCACACTAGGAAGTAAAATATTGTTTAATAAAATAACTTTCCAAGGGAAAAACTCGTGCTCTGTTCAGAGTCACAAAGCGAGGGTACTGCAGACAGCGCAGGCAGGTGCTTGGCCAGTGCCCTGTGGCCCCAGGTATCTCCTTGAGAACAAGAGGAGAATGGAGATTTATCTAGAAAGCTTTAGGGAGCAATACAAACCCCCCTGTGTCTGTTCGATCCAGCCTATGGCAAGCAGAACAAAGCGACAGCTGCTGGGAAGGAGCCCTGAGTAGCCGTAGGGAGCCCTGGGCTCTGCCTGCCTAGGTACTAAGTGCTGTCTTGCAGCAGTGCACAGGGAAAGCACAACCAAGCAGTTCCTTCCACCGAAATCTGATCAGAGTGGGAGACACCCGCAGTACCAGGGGCAGCAAATCAAACCAAAAACACAACATGGGCCTTGGGCCCAGACAGCCCCAGCTCTGACTTGAGTGTCATGTTTCAGGTGCGATGTGACCTCGGGCAGGACACCCAAAATCTGAGCTTGCCATCTCCCCATCTGAACCACGCAAGTGATATGCTCCTTCACCCTCAGGGTTGACACAATGATTCGAGAGAATGGTGATAAAATCTAGCACGGTGCCAGATATAGAAAAGAAATCTGTGAAATTATATCAATTTTTATCATTCATCAATGTTTTCGTAGATGCCATTGTGCATTGCCTTTGAAAAAGGGATATTCAACAAATGAAAAATGTAAATATGATTTTGAAGGAAAGAAGTAACTCAATTAATTTAATTTAATGAATTTATTGTATTAAATATTTTAAATAAATAATTAAGATCAATTATCTCTATTTGAATACTTCAAAATTTATTTATGAATTTGGTTTTCTAATAATAAATAAAATTGTGGATATTCTACTATGGGAAGTATACTTGGCAAAGAAATGAGCATCCAATTGTTATCTGATTATTATCAGAGTCCTATCAGGTGTACTTCTTCAGAAGTATTTCTGGATAATTAAAATTGCTTTTGTCTTTCCCTGTAATTCAATTTAAGAAACTGGACATACAGATATTATGGACATACAGATATTTAACAGCAGACTCTGTTCTGCAGGGAGAGTCAAGCAGGGAGGCTTTCCTATCTTTCTACAGGAGGAGGAGAGTGGAGCAAAACATTGGAAAGAATTCAGAGAAACAGCTGGATTGAAATAGATTTTCTCTATTTCAATGGAATATTAAGGGGCCAGACACAAACTAACCCCCTCTGAGTGCGGGTCCACAGAAGACTGCAGTCTAGCACTCGGCAATAAAGCCATAATCTCTTACTGTTTTTCTCTGAGCAGGTGGACGGGTGAACAGCAGGGAGATTCAGCTCCAGATATAAATGTAAAACTCTCTCCTCTCGGGAGCCCGATGAAGACAGACAAGGGGACTTATTTTCCTTGAAAGGAAAGGGGAAACTGAACTCCCTGGATGTGCCTTGGTGCCTGGTGGCGCTGGCTCCCATGGATTCCCGACCGGGCTTGAAGTGCGGTTGCATGAGAGACGCCAGCCACACCACGCCTCTCTTCACTGACCCAATGCAGGACTCGGTTTCCTAAGTCGCAGGTACAAGGAGCCGAGCTATTGCAACCCGGACTCGGTGTAGCAGGGCGCAACGAAAAGGATGAATGGCTGCGCGCTCTGCAAGCCACGCACTCCCGTTCAGGCACTGGAAATACCCTCTAGACAGTACAGGCCTGTGTCTTTCTGTGTGCTGCCTTGTGTCACCCCCCCCCAGAAGTCATCATTAGAAGTCGGAGCTCACTGGGCTGTGCCCTTCCAGATGCATTCCAACCCGTGACATCCTGTTGGCCAGACCTCAGCCCTCCCTGTCACCCACTGGACTGTCAGTAACTGGGGAAGAGTAATTCCTCCCCTACACCAATCCTGCAGGGAACACAAAGCAGAACAATTTCGAGCAGCCACTCGTTAAATTTAGGAAGATGTAGGTAAAATATGGTTGCTAATAAATATCACTATCTATTATCAATGCTTCCAGTAGCTCTATTATTATTATCATTATTATAGCTGGGTGGTTCCTAACATTATTCCTCAACTCTCTCTGATACCAAAGGAGGCATTACATTATACACTTCATCTTCTAGAATCATCTCTAAAGGTATATTGTAGTGATTCCACACAAGACCTTTCCTTCTACCTAAGGATATCAACTTTGCAGAGTGCTTTAAATTTTATACTCTACATATTACCCCATATGATTCTATAGCAATTCACATGTGTTAGGCGAGAAAGTGAATTCAGAAGTATTTCAGTGACTAGCATCACGAAATAGCAAGAACAGGACCGTACAATGAATTGCAGCTTCTGTGATAAGTTCCAAAGCTGGTGGTATCAGGCACCTCGTTTACAGAAAGAGTGGCCTGTGTACGGCAGGTATTTGTGAGTGATATGCCAAAAAAGACCATTTCTACACCGAATCTGCAATTGTGCACTGCTCTGGGGAATTAAACAAGAGTTCTGATCCCTGAGAACATTTGAGATTATTATTTCCCCAAGGGCAGTCTTTTGTCAGGGGTCAGAGTACATGTGCCATTTCCAACATTAAAGCACTTTCCACGTGGATGGTGCATACAGTATTATTCTGTTTCCCAAGCACCTGGGCTTTCATGTTTCCAAATTAAGCTTCAAACACCGCTGTGGTTGATAGTGGATGCCCCAGAGAAGAGGGGAAGATGAGCTGGGGGCGAAGGAATGCACGACGGCACTCGGGTTCCCCTGTGGCTTCTAGAACTCCCTTCACTACCCCGCTTGCAACCTTAGTTGGGGGCAGCACCCCAAGGGAGCTGGCTCAGGGTAAACAGCATGGGAACACCCAGGAAAGGGGGCACCGTGGCATCGATGTCCACCACTCCTTCTTCTCAGGGGGTTTTCAGCATAAGAGCTCTGGCCTAGGAGGACACACTCTTTAGAATATTTTTTTGTTACATCCATATTCAGGTAAAATATACACTTGTGCCAGATTAATACATCAACGCAGGAGCACCAAATATCAGCGTTATCACAAGTGTTCTCATGCACTGAATACCTGATCATAACGCTGACGCCTGCCTACAGATGTTAGAACGCGGCTCCTCCATGGGGAGCGGGCGGGTCATTCCCATCACAGTGATCAGCAGCAGGAGAGCTCCGCACCGGGGAGAGGACCTCACAGGAGGAAGGTCCAGAGGCTAATAGGCTCCCGTGCCCTGCCTCTGGGTGGGCCCGTCTCAGCCCCAGCGCATCCCAGCCCCAGGGACTCCCTACCTGCGCGTGCGGTGGAACTGGCACCTCTTCAGCGGGATCTTGACCACGTGTCCCCGCAGGCCCACGAACAGGACGCTCTGGCTGTGGAGGATCTGCAGGCTCCGGACGGGCTCCTGCCGCCCCTCGGGGAAGAGTTGGATCTCTTCCAGCAGACAGCTGCCCGAGGTCTGATTCAGGGGCGCCCGCACCTTCTTAATGGTGCCGTAATCTGCAAAGGCCATGGGGAGAGAAGGGAATGAGGTCAGCAGGTCTCACAGGCCACTCCCGGGTTAAGGGGAGCGTGCCGCGTGCCACCAATGCATGGATCTCCAGCTCCTGCAGTCCCCGGGGGCACCTTTCCCAAACAGGACTCCCGGGCCCCACTCCAGAGGGATTCAACCCATGGCACGGCTGGTGGGGACCAGGCTCCGGGATTTCTCAAAGCCCTCCCATGATGCTGTCACACAGCCAGGGATGAGGACTAATCATAGACCACAGGCCTCTTCCAGTTGCAAGTCTACAGATCAAGAGAGTGAAGAAGCAAGCTCTGTGACACCCGCAGAGAACGCCAGGAAGGAGAAATCCTCACAGGACCATCTTGGAGTCCAGGCATCAGAGATGTTGACTTTGTGGCCCCAGCGGGAAAACACCATGTGACAGGCAACCACAAACATCAGGACAACCACGATGCACCTTCCTCTCTCCTGCCCTGGGAATACACGCTTCCCCATCTCTACCTCCTCTGTCTCCCCTCTCTCTCTCTCTTTCTCTCTAGTGCTTGCTCTTTGCCATGCTTTTCTTGGTCTCGACCCCCCTAATTCTTCTCTTTTGTGCTTCTGAACATTTGATTCTGACCTGATCCAAGCCCCCACCCTGCCTCCAGGTTTCCTGCTCCCTGGGTGTTTATAACACATATTTATAAGCTTGGCTTTTAGCACTGCCGGAAGCACAGACTGCCCAAACAGGCAGCTGTGGACGTGGAACTCTTCAGGCACATGAGTGGAGGGCCCGGCACAGCCAGCACCTGTGTCAGGGACACAGATCTGAAACTTGCACCACTCTCCCGGGTGCTCTGTGGCATGCCCCACCCCAATGCCGGCCTGCAAGACCAGGGTGCAAAACCCAGCCCCCCAGCTGTGGCTCTGAGATCCACCGCCAGGTTCCTGCAGTCACCCTGAAGGTACTAACTGAATAAAATTCACCATGATCCTCAGTTTCAACATATCATAAATATTAGTTTGCAAACACAGAAAATGAAGTTGTTATATAATCAAAAGTAAAGTCAAGAATCTTTGGCTTCAAGGCCTTCTACCAATCAATGAATTGCAAAAGACTTTGGACAAAAAATACTTTACATTTTTCTACCTCTATGAAAGTCCTAGGGACACAGGCTGCTATTTGCATTTAAAGAGAAAATACATATGCAGACATATAATTGCCCAGATTTATTAAAAATGTATATGTGAAATATCTCTAATGAAAATTTATTGATTATGAACTGGTTGAATAATTATGGATACAGAATTAGCAGACAATTGCTTAATGTCACATTAAGCTAGCTAGTTAAACATGTTACTTTAGAAAAAGGTCGCGCATACACTGAAATAGCTATATGCTGGGAAGATTCAAAACACGGTACCTGTCTTGGAGGGTACCTGTACGGCAGGGGCGGGGGGAGCAGGCAGAGAAAGGGGCAGCCATGGAGTAGACCAGCAGATATTTTAGCAAATTCACAGCTCACAGATAGAAGTGTGTAAGAAGAAACTTATATCTTTAGTCTATAATTCAACTTAATTTTGATGTGGAGACCACAGTTCCTAAGCTTGTCTTGGGTCTTCCTGCCTGGGGAAGCACAAAGCCCCGATGAGGTGACACAGCACCGTGGCAGTGACAGGGACAGGATGGCAGCTTCGGGGAATGTGACTTCAGCACAGACGTCTCCGTCACGAGGCCTGAGAGGAGGCCTCCACACGGTGCCTGCAGATGGAGGCGTCAAGCCTTCTACAGAGCAGAGATGGGCATAGATCCTGTGGCCATCTTTGGGGACGTTGCGGCAACAGGGACCATTGTCCATCCCAGGGGCTAGGAGGGAACATCGGCAGCGAGGCTCCTGTGTGAGTGTTTGTGGGAGACGCTGGGTGGGTGGGGGGAACAGAAGCGCTTATAGCAGTTCAGGGGTGAGGGTGGGCTAGGGCAGGGCAGGGGCGCCCAGCTGGGGCACTGCTGTGCTGTGGCTGTTGTCACACTATATATATACATATATATATATGTATATATATATATTTTTTTTTTACCAGCCAAGCTTGACATGGGAGACATAGATTACAGAACTAACTCTTATTCGAGAGTCTAACAAAGATTCCTGCTGTTGATTATTTATTTTGTGGATGGATTATCACTCTGAAAAACCTGCCCAAATTAACACTAATCCAAATCCCAATATGCTCATATGCATTTCAAATTCTTAAGCGATTGTGAAAACAATCAAATTTCAAAGGTTGACTTAAAATGGATTGTTTCATAAACTGACTAAACAGAGGTCGCCACCACTGATCGCACACTTTCAGTGTGTATGTCCGCACACCTCGCACCCGGTTCTCCTGCTGACGGGACCTTACAACACTGCAGGGCCTGGCGCTTCAGAGAAGGGTCCCTGTCCGTGGCTCTGCCGTGTCTCCTTCACGTTCTGCAGCGTCTGGTCACGTGAGGAGCCCCCCCTTAAGTCCCTTTCCCTGGCGTCACGGTCACGCTCAGCACTCGGAGTCCCTCCCTGTGTCCTTGCAGCCTTTCTTCCCCCGCCTGCACCCTGCCCTTGCACATGCTGGGCTGTAGTCTTCTCACCTCCTTGTGGTGACACCCAGGGGACTGTCCTCACAGCTGGGGGCTCACTGCCCACTGTTCTGCTGAACCCCAGAGAGGGGACGGGACGCCACGAACTCAACAGGCCTGTGGGGACGCCCTGTGCTTCCCACCAGCTTGTCCCACCTCCTGGGACCTCAGCTCAGGAAAGGTAGCACCTTGACCCCAACGCTGAGGACTGGGCCCTCCCTTCCTCATCCAAGGCTCACCTAGTCCTCGCCCACCACCTCCTGTCACCTCATGCTCCCACTGCCTGGGCTTAGAGCACCTTTCCCACCTGGACTCTTAAAAACTCACTGTTCTCTCCCCACTGAGTCTAGAGCCAGCCTCAGGACACACATTTGATGGCCCCGCTCTCCTGCCTTGGACCCTCTGAGGTCACAGCAGGGCCTGCGGTCACCCGTGGGCTGTGATGCACCTGGCCCCTCTTGACCTATGTATGGCTCCAGCCTCACCTGAGCCCGTCTGTGCTCCAGCCACCAGCCACCAGGAAGCACTTGTAGCACCAAGAGCCTGGGACTGTCCCGGATCATGTGTAAGTGGTTCCTTTGCCTGAGGTGACAACTGAGAATGTCATTTTTCTTGCAGAATCAGACAGACAGAGCCTGGCTTATAAAAGAACCAACATCTGTTTGATATGAGAGCGTGCAACATCAGGACCCATTTTGTTGCTGTCTTTTACTTTATAACACTTATCACAGTTTTAGTTACTGATTTACTTGTTTTGTGGTTTCTACACTTGATTTTTAAGCTCCATGGAGGTAGGAAGTCAGTTTTGTTCTCTGATATGTGTTAGTGGCTACTGTTAGGGCTGGTAGAGATTTGGTGCTTTGTAAATACATGCTGGTGAAAGACTGAATGAATGAGAGAAAGAAGGAAGGAAGGAAGGGAAGGAGGAATGGAAGGAAGGAGGGAGGGAGAGGAGGGAGGGGGAGGAGGAAGGAAGGAGGGAGAGAAGGAGGGAAGGGTGGAAGGGAGGAAGGGAGGGAAGGAAGAGTGGCCATCTAGACTAGAATGAGAATGTCATTATTACCCCTGTATTTGCTAAAGATCGCTGACTAACACTTTCCCCATCATGATCTTTAGCGGGAATTATATCAGTCAGCATGAAGGTGAAATTAGAAACATGCATTTCCCTAATATAGCTGGAAATCAACCCAAAGTGTCATAAACTAAATATGAATAAAGAAAATTACTGTAATTAGTTTCATCCAGTAAAATATTAACTCTGAAAATCTGCCATAGGAAATAAAACCACACATACCTTCTACACATCTGAAATTCAATACTCTAATCAACAGCATTTGCAGAAAAAAAAATATATTCCAGAAATACAAAAAAGCCTTCTTAATCATTCTTTAACATTTTGAGATCAGCAAAAAAATTAAAAAAATCAGCACTTGCTGCCAGTTGCAGCTTTGCTCCCCAAGCAGAGAGGAGGAGAACACAATGTGGAACCATAGAATCGGCACCGACTGCAGGACGCACAGACTGGACACTATGTTGGTGCTAACTCTCATGATATTTGCCTTTTCGTGAAGATGTCCAGTTCTAATTATGTAATGGGCACAGATTTGAGTGTCAGGTATTTGTACTTTATCTCACAAACTGAAAACTCTAGGTATTCATCATTAAAGAGAAACAGCCACTGTGACACTTTTAAGATTGATCAAAGCTGGCAGTGCAGTTGTTATTCAAAAGACATGAACAATTGTAACTATGTGAAAATATCATTAAATATTATACTGAATAACATATTTGTCTCAACTTAGCAAAACAGTAAACATGTTTGTATTCTAAGGTTACCAAATTAAATGTAGGATGTTCACTTGAATTTGAATTTCAGATAAACCATGAATAATACTGAATAGGAAAAGCCAATACTAAAAAACTTTTCATGGTTTATCTGAAATTCAAAGTCAAGTGAGCACCTTGTATTTTTACTTGCTAAATTTGATGGCCCCATTTTATCACATCTCATTTGATCATCTCAGCAAGCTACTGAAGATGTACCCAATATATGTGTGAGTATCCCCACTTTACAGAAGAGGAAATTGAGTTTCAGGAAGTTGAGCTGATCTATGTTTCCTGTGAACTATACTTTCAAAGTTTTGTAACTTTGAAATGACTTTTCAGGGTCAGGCATGAAATGACTTTTCACTTCAGGGCTGATGAGTAAGATAAAGGATTATAGCAACAAACTCTAAAGTGAACATTAATTATAAAGCAACCTGATAACAAAAGAGGAAGAGGTAATTGTACTTAATTTGTTTGGGTTCTCTTTTTACTCCATGCCCTCTTCTAGAAATCATAAAACTTAATCAGTTGGGGTAAATGAGACGAAAGCTAGCATTCTGATCCACTGGAAGC